AAACTAAGCTATATACACCTAAACCTTAAGACCTTAAAACCTTGGCTCTAGATACCACTTGTTAGGAAATAAGAGTGTAATTGTGTTTGATTAATGCGGAACAAGACAATGAATCAAGGATTTACGTGGTTCGGTCAAAATAGACCTACATCCACGGGTGGGGGATTCGAGAACTTCTTCACTATAATGGAGAAAGAAACAAGAGAATAATACAAGGAGTCTTAAATCTAATGGCTCAAAAGGTATGATCTAATTGATCAACTAAAGGGTCCTTTTATAACACAAGGAAACCCTAATAAAACCTTAAGATTGTTCCCTAAGTATTACTCAAATAGCCGTCATAGAAAAGATATAATTTTAGGAAATATTCCATAAATTATCCTATAATAAACTAACTATCGAGCTATAGCTCGGTAGCTAGTTCATGCCTGCCGCAAGTCCTCATAGGGCCGAGCTATAGCTCACTTGCATAGAGCTATAGCTCGCAGCCTCGTTGCAAATTTCCAACTTCATCAGGTTTTTGTAAAACGGACATAACTTTCTCGTTTCTAATCAGAATTGGGCATATGACCTATCGTTGGAAAGCTCTTGAACCAAGCTATCACCTCCAACTTGAATCACCTCAAAATCAGTTGTAGTTTGAGAGATATAAGCATTAAAAGTCAGCCCTACTAGATTTCGAGTCACAATTAAACACTCTTTTCGTGCCTTTAAACCCAAAATAATTCATTTCATGTCCTTTAAAATCATTCATTTCATGTCCTTTTTATAAAAACGTTTAGTTAAGTTTATTTTGGTCCATAATTTGGGTCCAATAATTAAATAGTTAGATGGGGCTTGAAAACATATTTCCAATAATATATTATAAGCCCAAATCCGAGTTATAACGAATAAGTTATGACCAAAATATTAAACTGAGCCCAAACCGAACCTAAGCCCACCTTACCTACAACCCAATGATCATGTGGAGGGTCCAAATTAATCAATAATATTCCTAAATCAATTAGGATTAATTGTAAGCTTCTATAAGTTTCTAAATGATCTTAATTATCCTTTTTGAAAAGATAATATTAAAGAGTTTGAAATTGAATAAAACTTTTCTTTTTGAAAATCCTATTTCTATCCGAATTGAAAGACGTTCAAAGATAGATAGATATAATTTTCGTGCCTCATATTTTTTATTCAAATTTTAAATGGTTGGATAGCCCTTGAAATTATCTTTCCAATGATATATTATAATATCAATTCCGAACTATAACGGAAAAGATATGAATAAAATATCAAACTCTACCCAAAACTGACACCGTCTCACTATTTCGGTCATATCTTTTATACTACAAAATATTTTAATCTTATTTTAATTAGGTTAGATAGTATACTACAAGAGCTTTTCAACGATATCTTATTTATCTTATTCCGATTTCTGGATCAAAAGATATGATAAAAACAAAAACTGCAAAAACTGTTGTCTATCGAGTTTTATTCCGATTTAATTCGGATCTTATCCTAATTCTTCGACCTTTTTTTCTCTATAAATAGAGGTCATATCTCCCCTTTTTCAAGGATCAACAATCTTGATCATCAAATAATCCTCTTCTCCCTCTTTAGCCTAAATACTAGTCATCCTATTCTCTAAAAATACTTCCCTTAAGCACTCCAAGGAGTTCATACTTAACTCTAAGTTCTATACTTAAACCAAGGCGCGAAAGGTAGAATTAATTGAGGGTTTGGACCAAATCAACTCTACTTTTTATTCAATTTAACTTTTTCAATTTGATTTATATTTTTATTAAAGTTACTAACAGTTTATTCATGATGTAGCAATTCAAGGAAATGCGGAAAGTGAGTAGTTAATCATTTAATTACTTTTATTTTTATTCTTGTTGCTAGTATCATGATTAGGTTTATTATTTATATTTGATTTGACTAACAATTTATTGTTGAATTGCTTCCAATATTAATGTTGATTCTATTTTTTTTTTTTATGATCACCATATTGCATGTTTAAAGGGAATATGTAATTGAAAATCACGCGTAATAAGATAATTTGGACAACCGGTTTAGGTTCCTTTTTAATCTTGTTATTTAATCAAGTGATCAAAATATTTTAGAAATATATGTTACATCAATATTCAACCATTTTAGCTTAATAATAGTTTGGAGAAAATTGAATATTTTGTTTCCATGTCTTTGAGATCGCGGGAATCACTTTTCACTATAAGAATCGAGTAGAGGCCAATACGGGCGAATGTGACTCCATGACTCACTTCGTACCATCATCCGCGATCCCCCTTTAGTGGTTCCGAACCATATGGAGTTAGTAATCTCATGGATTATGAATGGGGTATAACCTTCACGGGTCAATCGTTGTTGCCTGTCGTTGTCCCTTTATTCATGGTTGCCTTTTATTATCTGTGAACGGTTTACAAGTTCCTTAAAAACTTGTTGGCGACTCCCTACTTTCCTTGTCCCTAATCGTGTTATGTCAATTCCCACTTCCTATGACTGCCAAGCATATTCACACATGCTTTAACGTAGGCGCACTTCGAGCGTCGCCTACAGCCCTAGACGTGAAAGGTTGATAATTTCTGAGGGTTTGGTCCCAAATCTCTATTTCGATTTTAATTTTTTGGTTTAGTATTTTCCTTGAAGTTACTAACATGTGTATTTTGTTATTAGAAAGAGATACGAGGCTTCCAAGTAAGTAAATTATTATTATTTGGATATAGAAATCATGCTTTAATTATTTTATTTCCTAGTATCATGTTAGGATGTCTTTTGATTCCTAGTATCATGTTTAGGGTAAGAACTAAAATTTCTAATATTTTGTATGTTTCTATGGGATGCTTCCTATTCTTTTAAATATCATGTTAGTATCATGTTAGGGCTAAAGTTTTGATCTTTATGGCAACGGATCGGATTCGGGTCGGATGTGGCTAAATCCAAATCCGATCCGTTGAGTAAACGGACCCTGGACTCTGATCCGAATCCGAGTCCGAATCCGAAAAACCGAGTCCGAATCCGATCCGACTCGTAATTTTCGGATCCGAATCCGGTCTGTTTATACGGACCTTCGAAATGATCCGAATTTTTTTTTTTTTTTTTTTGTAATGTCACATCTATAATTGCTTGTATTGTCATACCAATTAAAGTATAAACATAACATATTTAAATTATAAACTAAGTTATATAACAAAATTTTGCTACAAAACAAGCAAATAATTGTCCCAAGTTATAGAGCATATGTTTGTATTCTCGAATTCGGACTCCGTCAAGGGTCCAAGTCCGATCCACCTTCTTTTCGGATTCGGATCTATTTTATCGGATTCGGATCTATTTTATCGGATTCAGACTAATTTTAAACGGATTCGAATCGAATCGGATTCAAATCGAACTCGGATTAAATTGCCATCCCTTCATGCTAGGGTTTGTTATTAATCTTGTTAATATCATACCAAGTATCTTGCTAATATTATTATGCTTTATTGAGAATACTTTGATGATTTATTTGTTGTTATATTATGTTGCTTGATTATTTATTGTTATTGCTTGATCACGCCTTTTATGCATGTTTGAAGGGAATTTGTACTTGCTTGTAATCATGCTTAATAAGATAATTAATAATCTTGTTTAGGTTAATATGGTTATAATTCAAGTTATCGCCAATAATAGATTTTTTTGTGCATTATTATTCAACCATTATAGATTAAACATGTTTAGGGTTAACCTATTGATTGTATGTTTGTCCGAAAGCACACATGAATATGAGAAGAATAAAGTAGAGGCATATTTTTAGGGCAACTTCAATCTCTTTTAGGTTGGATTTGTACCTTCATCCCTGAATATCTAGTCATGGTTCCAGACCACTATGGAGTTAGCGATCTCATGGATCGTGAAGGGGTGTAACCTTCACCCTGTGAACGGTTTACAAGTTCCTAAAACTTTTTGGCGACTCTTTTACTCTAGCTTCCTTCCCTTTAGACGCCACCATGTTTAAGCGTATGATCACAGTGGGGCTCAAGTGTGGGATACTTGAAATATTCCCTACAGCAGCCGACATAGAATGACCCCGAGATTGATTGATGAATGAAAGGACTTCATGAGCCAGAAGGCTATTATCCGACATAAGCCGACCTGGAACAATAGCATTCTTGCAATTGGAAATAAGAGGTAAGACATGTCGAAGCCGAGAAGAGAGACACTTGGCTATACATTTGTAGAATATACGATAGTGATTGTGTAAAAAAAATAAAAAAAATAAAAATGATATGTATAGTGATGGGGATACATAAATAAATAATTAAAGGGTTTCATTTTTATTTTTATTTTTATTTTTTTAACCAAGCAAAAATCTATTAAGGCCCTGTTTAGTTTACCTTATATTTTTTTTATCTGAACTTATCTAATTTGATTTGATCTGATCTAATCTGATTGTCTGAATTGACCAAACTTTGACTCTAATAAATAATTTGAAATTAAACTTTGACTTTAAACAATTTTTTTTGGAGGAACCTTGCTAATTTGTTTGATGTTTGGTCCTGCATTTCATTTTTTTTTAATTTCCATAAATGTAAATCATTTTTATACATACCTAATTCTAATATTTATATTAGATGTAATACAATAGAAAATAAATTAAAAAATAAATAAAAAATTTATATCTAACCGTGTAAGTTAACCTAGTAAGTTTGAATAAGATAAATTGAAAGAAAAAAAAAGTCAAATAAAATAAATGTAGACACCCATTTGTGTCTCCCCAAAACAAAACCCGGTAATGAGTACTTTTCACGTCGAATCATCACTACCATAAAAATGGGAAAAAGAATCACACAATACACAACAGTCAAGTTGGATAGGCGATCTCTAGTATTTTATAGGTCGCCTAAGTAAGATGGGCGTTTTGTAAGTTAAAAGTTATAGAGCGCCTTCCCCACTTAACCGTTCTATATGATTTCTTATTATTTTAATAAAAAGTGACTTTGTAATATAGAGCGCCTATCTTAGTTAGGCGCTCTATTTATTTTAAAATAATAATAAAAATTTTAAAAAAATAACAATTAAAAGAAACCGACAAGATTAAAAACCCTAGAACTTAAGTCCCCTTGATGAATCAGTCTCGCCGCTGCTATCTCATTCCCTTCAAATTTTTTTTTTCTTTCGCCTCCTTCTCCTCTCTTCCTCTTTAGATCCTCTCAACCTCTTCTAGAAATTTCAAACCGATGAACCGAATCGTGCACTCCAAATTAGCCAATGGCGAAGTGATGAACAAGGAGCCTCGCATCCTCCTCCTTAGCCAGTAATGATGTGATGGTAGGTAAGATCGATGTTTCTCTTTGTTATCATCGAATATCATTTTGGAAGATTTTTCTGTTTGAATGTTGTAGATGATGATTGTTCAAGTTGATTTAAGTTTCTAGGTACTATATTTTTGTGATACTTCGTGCTGAATTTGACTTTGATAGTTTTTAATTATATGTTAAGTGTATGGTAGGGGTTGAATTTGAAAATTCAGTTTGATTTATGCTTTTGGTTCAGAGATCCTTGATTTGAATTTTCAGATAATTGTGAATTTATGATATGATGATTCATGATTGTTTGCATGCTTGTTATTGGTCGAATTGTGGGTAAAATTCAATTTAGAATGTTGGCATAATATTTAGATTCAATGAAATGATTGAATATTCTAATTTTGTAAAATATAATTGAAAAAATGAAAGAATAAAGAAGCATCTGAGGTAAAGTAGATTTCTGTTTATGCATTATATTCCTGGATCTTTTCTAACATAGAAAGATCAAGGCCTCAAGGGTTATATTCAGGTCGAAGCGAGCACATGATGAACTACATCAGGGAAATTGTTGTAATCAGTCTAGCTATATAATTTTACCTTCTAATCCTTGGATTGTTTGATCTGTGAAGAGGGGAGTAGCAATTTGTCTGGTTTAATTGTTTCAAATCGTTCCCCTGTCTTGATTGTTTTGTTTGGCAGGTTGGTTAATTTCTATTTCTTCATTTTTTATATTTAGTTTCTTTAATTGTTTTGTTTAAACATATATGAGTGACATTATGAATTGGGTTTACTTTGATTTCTTGTGGGAAATGTCTTAATTAAAATTGTATAAAGATCTATATTTATTTGAAGTTGTATAAAATTTACTTTAAATTACATTGCAATTATAGTCTTATCATTTGTTGTTACATGTTTTTACAGATATGAAATTTGCTTGACAATAGCAAGCTTGACACAGTCGGCTTAACGTACTTGTGTTAGTTGTATTAGAGAATTTGTCATGTAAAGTTCTTGTAAGAATTTGTAATGTAATTTAGTTATTGCAACTCAAATATTTGCTATTTTAATTAATACTATGTATTGCCCTATTGGTACGGTGTTTTATTTATTGTGTACTCCATATTATTTTTATTATTATTATTATTATTATTATTGTTATTATTATTATTATTATAATAATAATAATAATAATAATAATAATTTTTTTTTTTAATAGAAAAATTAAGAAAAGAAAGCGCCTATCTGTGATAGGCGCTCTCTTTTCATATAGTTATAGAGCGCCTTTCCTAACATGACAGCTCTCTTTTCCTTGTTATTTATTCACTTTGTACCTTAAATATGAAGCGTCTATCTTAGATAGGCGTTCTGTATTGTGTTAGATATAGAACGCCTCAAAGAGGCGTTTTGTAGACTTTATAGGGCACCCCCTCAGAAGAACGTCTATATAGCAAGTTTTAGGCGTTCTATATTCATGTTTTTGTAGTAGTGCATAATTGAATGAAGTGAAAGTGTGGAAAGTCTAGTGTTGCGGATAGTTTTAATTTCTTTTCTTTTCTCTCTGTTTTATTTTTAAAACCTATTTTGAGAAAAAAGCCAATCCAGTTTGGTTGGTCTATAATAAGAGTCCAATAATGGTGTAGTTGGATGGGGCTTGAAAAAATCTTTCCAACGATATATTATAAGCCCAATTCCGATGAATAATGAGTAAGTTATGGCCAAATTACTAAACTGGGCCCGATTTGAGCCTTATATGCGGCCCAATGATCTAGAGGGGGGTCTAATATGGATTTATCATTCCTAATGCAATTAGGAAAGGTTTTAGTCTAGATTCTTCTAGAAAGTTCTTTTCATCCTAATTCAATTAGCATTGATAAATTAACTTTTGTTGACTTTTTAGAGTTTTAATCAGAATAAAAGAGTGTTTTTAAGGAAAATACGATTTTGCCCTCTATACGGACAAATTTTATCTTAATTTAGAAAACGTGTAAAAAAAAAATTAATTAGCGCCTAACGCCAGTCATTAGCGTCTGGCGCTAATGTTCAGCGTTAGGCGCTAACTTTGTTTTTTCTCGTCGAAACTCTGATTTGTTTTTCTATCTTTTTGGCTGATTTTCTCTATAAATAGTCTCCTAAAAACTCTGTTTTCAATCATCTACAATCATCAATTCTCTAATTCTCTTCTCTCTCGAAGCTAAAGCTTATTCTCTTTCTATTTTCTAAACCAACCTTTATACACAATTCCGCATTCACAAGATCTAGACACACCTAGCCAAGTTCGAAGTTGCCTCCGCCCTAGACGTGAAAGGTTTTAATATTTCTGAAGGTTTGGTCCCAAATCTCTATTCCAATTATTTAATTTAATTGTTTGATTTTTTATTTTTTCCTTGAAGTTACTAACGTGTGTATTTTGTTATTAGAAAGAGGTACGAGGCATCCAAGTAAGCGCTTTAATTGATTTATTGATATTATGATATAGAAATCATGCTTAGATTGTTATTTTGATTCCTAGTATCATGTTTAGGATGTTCCTAGTATCATGTTAGGATGCTTTCTTTAGTATGATATTTAGGGTGATTTGCTTATATCAATTATGATTTCTGTGATGCTTCCTATATTCTTTCCTAATATTCATGTTAGTATCATGTTAGGGTTAGCTTTGATCTTTATTGTTTAGTAACATACTAGGGTTTGTTATTAATCTTGTTAGTATCATGGCTAAGATCTTGCTATTAATATTATGCTTTAACATGATTATTTTTAATTATTATGATTATTATTATTGTTTATTATTATGTTGCTTGATATTTTTATTGTTATTGCTTGATCACGCCTTATATGCATGTTTAAAGGGAATTTTTACTTGTAATCACGCTTAATAAGATAATTAATAATCTTATTTAGGGTTAATTTGATTATAATTCATCCCCAATAATAGATTTGTTTGTGCATTAATATTCAACCAACATAGATAAACAGGTTTAGGGTTAATCCTATTGATTGCATGTTAGTCAGAAAGCGCACATGAATACGATCAGAATAAAGTAGAGGCCTATTATTAAGGCAGGTTCAATCTCTTTTAGGTTGGATTTGTACCTTCATCCCCGAACTACCAGTCACGGTTCCATACCTATTGGAGTTAACGATCTCCTGGATCGTTAAGGGCTGTAACCTTCACCTCGTCAACGGTTTACAAGTTCATAAAACTTGTTGGCAACTCTTTTGCTCTATCTTCTTTCCCTTTGGACGCCTCCGTACTTAACTGTATGATCACAGTGGGGTTCAAGCTAGGGATAACGCTTGAAATATTCCCTACAACAAAGTATTCACATTTTTAATAAGTATAAAATATACAATATTTCTTTATTATTTTGTTTTAACTACAACTTCTGCTGAACTCATTGTTTAATTTATTCTACTCCCTCTATTTATGGAAAACGCAAACAAATAAAAAATGAAAAACAATATTATAAAGTCTTTTAATGTATGATTAGCACAAAAAACCTCATACAATTAAATTTCTCTAAGCATATTAAGGATAATTTTAATCATTAATTAAGATTTTATGCATAATATAAAGTAAAAAATTGGTTCAGTCCAAGACCAGTTTTTATAGGGTTTTGGACCAGATTGGATCAAAGACCGGAAAAAAAAAAAATTCTCAACCTAGAGAATCGGTCCAGTCCGGTTAGGTTCAGTCCATTTTTTCGATCAGGACCGATTAATGAACTCCCCTCTAATATTTTATTAATTATCTCTCTTACTAACCCTACTTTTACAAGTATTTTTCTCTCTTACCAACCTCACTTACACTAAATTAATTTTATTATTATTATTATTATTATTATTATTATTATTATTATTATTATTATTATTATTATTATTATTATTATCTCATATTAACTCTATTATCTTATTAAAGCCTACAATTCTACCCTATATACTACCTCCGTTATTTTAGTTGACACATTTTGACTTTCGCACTATTCACACACTCCACTTTGACCGTATTTTGTGCGTTATGTATAATGAAAAATATATTCATGTGGGATCTTGTTAGATTGCTCACGATATGTATATCAACTTTTTATAATTTTTGTTTCTCAGTAATTAAAGATATTAATGGTTGAATTAGTGCATTGACAATTGTGACTAAAGAAACGTAGGAAGTATTTCTTAAACTATGTGCACTCCTTATCGTTGTGATTATTCCGAAATGAAGGGAGTATTAGATTAATGGTACTCCCTCCGTCCCTTAATACAAAGCCTATTTTCGTTTTAGCGTAGGAATTGAGAAATTTGTAAATTTTGTAAAACTAATGATTAAAAGTACATATATTCATGTGGGGTGAGAGAGATAGAGAGAAAGTGCTAAATTAGAGAGAAAGAGAGAAATATGTGGCCTTGATTTCTCATTCATCATTCATGAAATATATAGAGTTACAACCTTTAACCCTAGAATAAAGATAATTATAGGAAAATATAAAGTTAACTAAAATATACATGAGATAATATTCTAGTAAATCAATTAATATCCCATAATATCTCAATACCCCCCCCCCCCTCAAGTTGAGCATGCGGGTCATAAATGCCCAACTTAGAACGAAGATAATTGAACTCTGATTTGCCAAGAGCCTTTGTGAATATATCCGCAAGCTGAGACGAAGTCGAAATATGAGAAGGAGAAATCAACCCTTCGGTAATTGCATCACGAACAAAGTGGAAATCAACCTCAATATGCTTTGTTCGTTCATGAAACACGGGAAATTTAGCAAGATGAAGAGCCGACTCATTGTCACAAAATAATTTGATTGCTTTCGGATGTTGCACACTGAGACTTAACAACAAAGCTTTGATCCACTTTAGATCACATGTAATTGCCTACATGGAACGGCATTCAGCTTGTGTAGAAGACGTTGACACTATGGGTTGCTTCTTGGTTTTCCATGAAATGGGAGACGTACCAAGAAACACTAGCCAACCAAACAAAGAATGATGTGTTAGAGGACATGCAGCCCAATCTGAGTCACACCAACCCTACGGATTCAAGTCACACTCAGAGCTCAATAAAATTTCCTATACCGGAGTGCCTTTCAAATAACAGACCACCCTTAATGCAGCATCCCAATGCTCACTATGAGATTCTTGCATAAAATAAGATAAAACATGAATCGAGTATGCTAAATCAGGACGAGTAACAGCAAGATAAATCAAACGGCCAACTAGTCGTCGATATGCCTCCGGATCAGAGAGAAGATCACCAGTAGCAAGACTCAACTTGTGGTTTTGCTCCATAGGAAAGCCACTAGGCTTTTCTCCCAAAAGACCTGCTTTAGAAATAATATCTAATGTATACGTTCGTTGGCACAAAAACAAAATTACAGAGCTACGGGCTACTATACCTCAATACCCAAAAAATATTTCGAAGGACATTTCAAAGGACCAAGGTCCTTCATCTTGAAGCTAAGATAAGCCAGCGGAATCATTCCCAGAAATAATTAAATCCTCAACATAAACTATGACAGTAATCTGAACTTTGCCTGTAGCATATGTGAATAAAGAGTAATCAGAGTAAGATTCACTAGTAGAAAAAACGTTATTCGTAACTAACAAAAACGGGCTTTTTGTAACCAACATTGGCCGTTACAAGTACTGGGGTTACAAATAGTCCTGTTATTTGTAACGGACATTGTCCGTTACAAATAGGTACCTATTCGTAACTAACATTTCAGTTGTTAGTTACAAATAGTTATGTATTTGTAACAGACATTTAATATGTTGGTTACAAACAGGTGAATATTTGTAACCGACAATTGATATGTTAGTTACAAATAGGTACCTATTTGTAATGAACATGTCAATTGTTGGTTACAAATGTTCATTTTTGATATTAAAAAAAATACGTAACTTTAATCATTATTTATTATTATTATTATTATTATTATTATTATTATTATTATTATTATTATTATTATTAAAGGAAAACAATTCAACAACCAACAAGAAGATAAAATAAAATAGGGTGAATATTTTGGGGAAAAATAATCCTTTCAATTAATTGATACAAACTAAATTATATTCTATCCCATTATATAATTTCAATACAACAAATTATGGTAAAAAAATGGCCTAAAAAGTGTCGGTATAGCTCCCACCACAGTTCGTCAGGTTGGGCTTAGTATAACCTTCACTCCTTCAGAAACGCTGTTAAGCTCCTTTCTCTGTGCAAACACATCAAAAAAAAAAAGATTAAATGCAATTACAAGCAACACTATCAAAATGAAGTTTTTGATACCCAAAATATTTTCTCTAGATAAATCACAATCACAATTTAAAGGGACAGAATCATATGCTCTATAATGAAATGTAACTCAAATTAGCAGAATATAATTAAACAGCTACAAGACTACAATACCCAACCATTAAAAATATTAAATACATAAAATTAATTAAATGCATAAATTTATAAAAATTAGATGGAAATCATAAGAAGAAAAAATAAAATAACAAAGTTTAAAAATCTTCAAAGGGCGATTATTACTAGATCTAATGTCTAATATAAATTAAAATAAGATCTAAAATTCAAAAACCTTGGGGTTGACAACGAGGCTTGCATTGATAGTGGATGCTCGGTTGTTAAGCGGTGTGTGAACAGTTGTTGCCGGCGGGTATGGGTTGACGGTAGGTATGGGTCGATGGTGAAGCTTGATTGTTGATTATAATAGCTCATGTCGATGTGTGCTCGTGGAAGAGAGAATTGATAAAAGATTAAGGGAAAGAGGAGAGTGAAGAAGGGAGGAGGACAGTAATATTCAAGACTCTAGAGGAACAAAGGAAGCTAATTTAAGTCTGCAAACCAAAGAAGAATCCGAACTTTTAAAACCCGGAGGCAATTTCATGTAGACCTCACCGAGATCACCATGTAAGAAGGCATTGTGTGTAATACCTCGTATTTTTATACGTGTTTTAATAAAAATAAGTATTTTAAGAAGTATTTAATTAAATTGAATTGTTTTATTTAAAGTATTTATTTTAAATAAGTTTGAAAATAATTAAAAGGAAAAATTGATTCTAGTAATTCCACCTTTGACCTGTACGCCGTTAATAATCCCACCTTTTGATTATTATCTAATAATCCCACCTTTAGGGGGCATTCTCTTCCATTGATCTCTGACTTATAAGTAACCGGTATAATGGGTTAACATGCCACATGTCAATTTGTGATTTGCCAAAATATATTTTTTTTTCATTTATTTTTTTTACAAAAATTAAAACTTAAAATTTTCCCCTTCTCTTCTTCCTTATCCTTTTCCCTCCTTCCTCCATATTTTCCGGCTAGGCAGCCCACCACTCCCACTACAACCAACCACCCCCACCCCCGAAACACTAACCCAGCCACACCCATTCCTAAAACAGCCTACCCCAGCCACCCCCACCCCCGAAACACCGTACCCCAACATATCCCCACCCCAAAACGATTCATTTTAGCCATCCCACACTCCCAAAACTCCCAACCCAAACCTTCCCTAATCCATGAAAAATGCCAGCCCAGTCCTTCTCACCTTGAAACGCCCACCGACCACCACAATAAATGCGCATCTTGGGTCTTCAAATTGGAGCATCAATTGAAGTAGTTGGTGTCAAATTGTGGGATTGGAGGCCATAATTATGCTTTTAGGTGGACGAATTGCTAATTGCAGGTGGTTGAATTTGGAGGTCGATTTGCTATCGATCGGTGGCAGATCGATTAGAGTGCAAGGACTGCAAGAAGGCTAAATTTCTCTTACACAGGTGTCAGGTGCTGCGTTGTTGGGTGATGATAGCTCGCTAGTGAGAAGGTGCTGGTGGTGTGACTGCTTAGTAGTGAGCAGGGAACATCGAGGGCAAAGGGGTTGCATAGTAGTTGTTATTGTTGTTGTTGGTGCCTGGTGGTTGGAAATGAAGTGGGGCTGGTGGTTAGGGAAAGAAGGCTTGGTGAATGGCCAAAATATTAATAAATAAATAAAACAAAAACAAAAAAACAAAAAATTACCCAAAGAACAGGTTACCGGTCATAAGAGACCATTGGAAGAGAATGCCCCCTAACGGTGGGATTATTAAATAACAATCAAAAGGTGGGATTATTAACAGCGAACCAATCAAAGGTGGGATTATTAGAATCAATTTTTCCTGATTAAAAAAGGAATTTTTTTTTAATTATTTAATTTAATTAAGTTGGGGTTTAATTTAAGGAAAGTTTTAATTTAGTAAAGTTTTAATTAGGGATGGGATTAGGAAAATTAAAAGAGGAAAGTTAGGGGAAAAGGGTTTGTAGAGAAGGGGTATAAATATTCCACTTATGAGGCAAATCAACTTTGCCACTTTTCCTAGAGTGGAGAAAACCCAAGGTAAACTTCTCTCTCCTTTCTCCTTATTTTCTTTCTTTTTATTTCTCCTTTTTCCCCTTCCCTTTTCTATTTTTTGGCTGTCCCCTTCACCACCACCGCCGACCACCGGCAACAGGTGGTCGCCGGCAGCAGGAAGCCACCGGCGTTGGCAACTGGCTTGGTGGCTGCCGCTGCTTTCTCTCTCCCCCTTTTTCGAACATATATGTATATAAATAAAAAAATTAAATCTTTAATGTTGAAAACTAATCTATGCTTAAATATAATTATGAGTTTTGGGATTTGATTTTGATGTTTGATTATAAGTATTATGTTAATTAATTGTCAGAATATGTTTTAAATTAAAAAGCCCCAATTTTTGAAACCCTGGGATCTTGATTTGTAAATTATTGAAGGGTTAAGATGTATAATGGTTTAGACCTTTGATTAAAGTGTTTTAAGGCTTAATTGCAGCAAGTTTTTATTAAAATATAGTGCTAGAATTTTTATTAGAGCATTTAAAATCAAGTTTCTTTAAGGAATTTTAATTACCCATTAATTGGAATTAAAGTATGATGTTTTAAATATAATTTCAGCTTATTTTAATTAAATTATGAGGGGATTTATAATAGTATATATTGCTGAAATTTTGTTGTAAAGTGGATTTTAATATTCTTCTATATTTTAAATTGTAGGAGACTTTGAAGTGAGTGAAGTCATGGCGATTCTAAGATCGTATACAAGGTATGTTCGCGTACTTAGCATAATTATGTTAACATAATAGCATGCTAAATGTGTTTGATTGATTACACGTAGTATCATGCTAGGTTTGGATTGGAAAATTGTGATTTGGATGTTCACTACTACAAAACACATGAATATAGAACGCCTGAAACAAGCCATATAGAACGCCTCTGAGGCGTTATTCTGAGAGGGTGCCCTATAACCAAACATAATACAGATCGCCTATCTGAGATAGGCGCGTCATATTCTAGGTATAAAGTAAATAAAAAACAAGGAAAAGAGAACAGTCATCTTAGGATATGCGCTCTGTGCTGTATAAATAGAGAACGCCTACCACAGATAGGCGCTCTCTTTTCCTTACCTTTTTTTAAAAAAATATTATTATTATTTAATTATAAATAATAATAATAATAATAATAATAATAATAATAAATAAATAAATAAAATACCACAACAATAACATTTTATTTAACAAAAAAATTAAAATACATGTATTTCAATTACAATAACTAAATTCGTTGAGGAAAAAAAATACATTACAAGTTCACTAATGCTATTGACTAATTATTTATACCGCTAACAAAAATTGCGGCCTTGTGGGTTTAGAGAAGAAATAAATGTAGATTGTGTCAATGCCTGCGGTTGTTCAGTAAAATTTCACTCTAATATCTGTAAAACATGAAAAACAAGAAGTGATAAGACCTATTTGCATATTAACAACAAGAACAAATCATAGAATAATTTAAATCCAAATAGTATGTAACAATGTAACATGCATATTAACCAGCCAAATGACGCTCAATAACTGAATAATCAACTTGAACATGTAACAAAAACCCATACATAAGCAACAAGAATAGATCCACAAACAAAAAGTAATAAAAGTGTAAAATCACCTCTAAAATACAAGTGTTCGTATTTCATATATGAAATGTTAAAACCCACAAAAATGATCAAACATCTGACTTAATCTAAATGAAAATCAGAATTTTAAATTTTATATAATTGAAATTCAAAACCATTTCTAAAGTGAAAATCAGACAATTAAGATCTAAAATTACTAATTGAAAATTAAAACCAAATTTTAAAATTAAAATCAGAAATTTTAATTAGAATAAAGTCAAAAGTTTGAATTAAAATAAAAAAAAAAACTTGGATCTAAATTATAGATAAAAATCGTCAGATGAACACCACCTAAAACACGAATTGATGAATGACGATGGCTAGCTTGAGAGGAAAGAGAAGGAACACCACCGTTTGCAGCCCCCAGCCAACTCGGCAACGCCTAACACCAATTAACCCGCAAATACTTGCGCTCAAAAATAGAGAGATATATATATTCAATGGTTCAATAGAACCAAGGGCGTCATTCACACAGCCCAGAAATACCACAATTGGACTTTTGCGACCAAAGAACCTAAAAATCATCACGATCTTACTTTCGCAAAACAAACCACCCAAAAATCATCACGATTTGAATTTCGCAAAAAAAAAAAAAAAAAAAAAAAAAAAAAAAAAAAAAAACCACCATGATCGAACCTTTGAGCACCGCGCCACATCGGAGTTAGAGTTGGAAAGCAAGGAGTGATGGTGGTATAAAGGGTTGTTGTTGTGTGTGTGCGTGGTGGGGAGAGAAGTGACTGATAATTAAGGGTTGAAGTTAGAGGAGAGAGGGGTCAAGGTTAGAGGAGGGAATGAGGAGAGGGAAGTGGGAAGTGGAGTGGCGGCTTAGGAAAGTATGAAGTAGGGTTAGAGTGGAATTGTGGAATACGAAGATTTTTTTTCTTTTTTCTTTTTTTTCTCAATATATTATACTTGCAAAACCGTTATCTATAAGGGATGATCTATATCATATAGTGTTATATTTGGATATATCATATAGAGCTGTTAATTTAGACAGGCGCTCTATATTCAACCTACATAACGCTTATCTTACATAGACGCTTTGTATAATGCTAGAGATCGCCTGTGAAACTTAACAGTTATGTATTGTGTGTTGCTTATTCCACATTTTGTGTTAGTGGTTATTGGTGATTGGATTATGAAGCATGATTGATTTGTGATGGATTATTGATTGGAAATTGATAGCTTGGAATATTATTTATGAACCACATATTTATTTATGGCATGTTAGAGAGCATGTTTAATTAAACTAAATGTTTAATTTGGTTTGGAATATTGAAAAGGAATTTTATTATGATTCATATAATTTTTATTGATGCTATAAGCATGAGGAAAGAGCTATATAAGTGTCTATGTACACGAGGAATAAATTGGATGTTGGTGTCTTAGTGCACTTAAGGTGTTTTTAACACCGAGGGATAAGATTTGTGGCGCTTTATGCGTTTAAGGTGTCATTGGAACCAAGATAGAATTAAAAAGGATTCAACATTAAATTTTATGTGGTCGCTAATTATTCAAGAATTAAATTGGTATATTTGATTGTTTGAATAATTATTGTTGATTGAATGACTATGGTTTGAGAGTTATCACCAAGTTTAATAATTTGTAAATAACATAAAGTGAAAGAGATTACGCACCAAAACTCTTGGAACGTATACACCTTGAGTATGAACATATGGGGGGAGTTATATGACTTTATATTTGATCATAACTTCTACTGGAGTACCGGACGTTGTACATTCCTTTTATTATTATTATGCGCAGGAATTCCGCCACTTACGAGTGGTTATTGATGCTGGCACGGTTAGCTCCCGTGTCAGTAACCTCAAATTTATTTGGGGGAGGTTGAGTGGGAAACCCATTCAATGAGTAGTCAACATTAAATAAATTATGTAGTGT